CCTGTCTGTGCCAGAAATCCTAAAATGCATTCAGGTGATATGGAATTGGAATGTGAGGACACGACTTGGAACACTTCCCACGGGTTAAATGACTTTAAAGGTAGCAATCCTACAGGGAACCGGGGAATCGGATAGCATCCTTAAATGATAACAGCACTTCATGGTCCCAAATTTGAATTCAGGAAATTGCTCAAATGAGATGCGGGGACTACAGAAGAAAATTGATGACAGTGTGTCTCAAGCTCGAGTGGTACATATGTGCTCTTCACAAATACAGCTGGTCGGTGTTTGATACTACCTTGTTTGAAACATGATACCAACTACCCTGCGATTTAAATTTAGACCTTCATGGCGACGCTAATTTATTTGTGGACAGAATAGAACACTAGAGGGGAATGCAGTGCAAGTGGGAAGAAAGAAAACTCACCTGAAACGGAAGTGTGTTGTTCATCCCGAGTCACCAAGGTGTCCTCGTACCTGGAAAGGACCCGAGGTTGATCCAGACACAACACATCCACTGTCGAGCCAAGATTGATTCGGTTATTGTGACTGAATAAAGGCGGATGTATCCACATCCTTGAATAAAATCAAAATAAGCCACGGCTTTTGCGGATCGAATGGTATTCTGAAATTAATGTGAATCCAGGGAGTCGAACTGGAACTTTGAGATTTGAAGATCAAAAATGCTACATCTTGGTATGTAGAAAGTACGCTTCGAGTCCAAAGGAATCAGCATCTTCTGGCAAGGTTCGTTCTTGCTTGCTGAAATCCTAAATGATTTCTACACGCTTTACGATGTCGCGGCGCAGTGGGAAACTTGTGTATTATTCCACCAATGGATTGAGATTGAAATCACACCGTGATTGGCTCGCATACCTGAATCATTGCCCCAAAATAACACCATCACATTTTTTTTTCGAACTGGTGCTGATAGGGTTTAGGTAGTCCTGAGCTTCCTGTCTATCCTGAGGCGGATGATTTCATGTGCAGCGAGACCTCGGAATATTGGCGTGGCTAGAAACTTGGGTTGTCAGGTATACATGCCGATTGCATTGTCATTCATTGTTTGCACTCAAAAGGTGTGACATTCTTTTCACTTAGCAGAGCACATTTGGGCATCACGCTCATATCTCCTCAATCGTTGATGAAGTGAGTTGACCATACATTGTGCAGTGAGTTGGGTCTGGAATATGTTTGTTGAGTTCGGGAGAACGACAGTGTTATCAACATGCCAAACCCAGGCTCTGATGAAACACTATGATGAGTGTTTTTTCATAGTTAGAAGTGATTGTGTATATAGGCTGTCTGTATAATTCCCGAAGTTGGAACTTGGTTGGAACAACCAATTGACGATTCATTCAAGTAATGTACTATATTAATTAAAACATGAGGTCTTATCATCTGTGAATTCACACAATGAGTGATAATGGTGCTCACCTCGCCGTACAAAGCAAGCATGGCCGACGACTGACCAAAAGGTTTTCTGGTTAAAAATCTTGGTTGTGGCTTTTTCTATCAGAAATTAATATCCTACGGGTCGTCTCCCATGCCGAAAGTTGATCTTCTTGCACACATCGCCTTTATCACAGCTTGAATGAAACTTAGCGAGAAATTATATGCAGGCTGGAGAACTGGCTGCATCGCGAGACTAAATTTCATCTTATGGGGCTGAATATAGACCTTTTGAGACCATGAAGAGTCGTGCAAGGTGATCCCAGGTCCAGCCTATGTTGAATGGGATGGAACCGTTCACAGCATCCACCCTTTGAGGGACTACACCTGATGCTCGATGATTTTCCATGGGAGATATGCTCTTGTAGCATACATCACTCGGACTTTTGATTTCTGGGCACAGCCGCACCAGGGAGATCATGTAAAACGGTATAGACGATAACACCATGGACTAATTAGTGCTAATTAGTGAAAGTTTGGGTTCGACTGACCAAAAATTTGAGACAGGGTTTTTTAAGTTCAGATGATGTATTTAACACTCGTAAATGTTTCTCGAATCGATTCCAGGGCAAAGGAAGTACTCTGTGAAGAATTATGTGCGGCGCGCCGATTGCCGCGTCACAGCGCGTCACTGCCGCGTCAATGCGCGTCACTGCCGCGTCAATGCGCGTCACTGCCGCGCCTGCCGCGGCATTTTACCAGACCCAAAAATAACTCGACACCTGCCAGCGCGGCTGTACGGCCCATGACTACAGCGCTAAGTGGCAGTGCAAAGCTGTAGACTCTTCGCTCGTCCCTGCTCTTCCTTCTCCTCCATGCAATCCTTGAGCCGCCAGCAGACAGCAAACAGCACTCTTAGCTGGTGGTCCGATAGGAATCTTGCTGGAGCAACAATCGACCTCCATGCAGCCTCCAAGCCGCTGATGAAATTCCTGTATCACCGGCAGGCTCTCGGCTTCATCGAGAAGAATCGTGCTACGCCCCTTTCCAAGGAGACGTTGGACATCTATTCTAGCTACCTTGCGTATAGTATTCAACTGAATTTTTGAAGTCATGCTAACCGAGCCGCTAGATTCAAATATATAGCGACTTCGACTAAAACCGCAATTCTGACGGAGCTTTGCAACAGAGCCTCGCAGTCGGCAGATGAGGCACGCGTTGTGGTGGATTCGGACGTGCTCAATCAGGCCCCCGGCTTGCTCGAGTCGCCGGAACCCCAGATTCGACGGTTGACGTGCCGGATGGTCGGCCGACTGGCATACTATATCCCCACCACGTCGGATGTAAATCCCTGTGTGCAGCTCGTTTCCCTTTTGAGGTGAATCCCCATGATTCCTTCTCAGAGGATCTCTCTCATGTCAATATAGCGACGAGAATACGGGGATTGTTGCGGCTGCTATCCAGGCACTGGGTCTGATCGCCAAATGGCCGGGGGGCGCACAGGCTGCCGTGGATGCCAATATTCTAGACCACGTCGCAGAATGGGTTAAATCGCCCAACCCCGTGATCCGACAATTTCCATGCTCGATGATGAGGCAACTGGCTCGGCACAAGTCCACAGTAGTCCCGGTGTTGGCCCTAAAACCTTGTGTACAAATTATGTTCCTGTTGCAGTAAGTCCTGCTTATTCCTTGTTGGAAGGTATCCCTGATGTCATTTCAGCGACGAAGATGAGGGGGTTGTTGCAGAGGCTATCCAAACACTGTGTTCGCTCACCAAATGGCCGGACGGCGCGCTGGCCGCCATGGATGCAAAGATACTAGACCACGTCGCAGAACTGTTCGAATCACCGAACTCCTGGATCCGGCAATCGACCTGCTTTATGGTGGAGAACCTATCCCACCACGTCAATGTTTCGGCGAACTATTGTGTACACATAGTGTCCTTGTTGCGGTCAGTCCGGATTCTTTCTTCTTGAAGAACAAGGTCTGTAATGTAATTTTAGCGACAAGGAAACGGGGGCCGTCACGAAGGCTATGAAGACACTGTATTGGCTCCTCACAGGGCCACATACTGCGCAAACTGTTTTACAGGCAAACATGCTAGACCAAGTTATAGAATTTTTAGAATCACCGGACGCATGGATCAGGAACTGCACATGCTGGATGGTGGGGACACTGGCGCGTTCAACATCAAACTGTTGTGTGCCACTAGTGTCCCTTTTGCGGTGAGTGCCGATTATTTCTTATTGGATCATATCACTGATACCCAGATAGCGATGAAGATGCGGGGGTCGTCACACAGGCAATATGGGCACTCTCCCGGATCGCCTATTGGCCCAAGGGCGCAAGAGCCGTTGTAGAGGCCAAGACGCTCGACGCCATCATTGAATTCCTTGAATCGCGGAATCCACAGATTCGGCAAACGACCTGCGAGCTGCTGGGAAATTTAGCATCCCATGACTCAACTGCATTGCGTATCCTCCGTACGGGTGATCTTTTGCAGCTCGTCTCGTTCTTGCAGTGCGTTATTGATTGGAACATATACACAATTTAGGCTCACTTATAAGTAGGAGACCTGGTCTAGAGTTCATGAAGCGGGAGCCTACTGCGATCCGGTAGTATTAAGCATTTGAACCAGATGTACAGTGTGGATCAGGAGTCAATTAAGTTACCACCGGAAGTTGTAGAACGTCCCCGCGTGCACGTGCGCTGTGGAACCCAGATGAACAGGAATTTCACAGCCAAGCTCAGGCCCGGCGGGTGGACTGCAGAAGAACTTGCGGGCCCAGTACAGTATCCGAACAACGATGAATTGAAAACGAGGAAAAGGTCCGCGATCCGCGGTTCGATGACACCCGAGCCCACAGGTGCAGGAAAAGCCTGCAAACAAGAGAAGGCGCGTGTCGGGGCCGAGTCATGCAAGAAACAAGTGTTTGCCATTATTTTCAGGAACTGCTGTAAAACCAGTCGACCAGGGTTTATAATCGCAGAGCAGGAGAGGGAGTTCGAACGTTGCGAGCCAGAAACCGTTATCGTGGCGCCTGTGATGAACGGCTGGGATTATTAGTACTAATTTTAGCCGCCACCATAGAAGGATGCCACGAAAGATAAGATCGTCCGAATGTAAACACGCATCGCAGTAAACTGGGAATAACTTGACGCGAGGATGCGCGGGTCAATGTGGCTGTGCTCCGACCTGATCCGGGATTTCTTTCACCTTCCATCTCAATATGTGCACTCCTCACTGTAGTCGCGCTTCGGATCCGGAGAATGTAATGTGCACTTGGACCGCCATATAATGGAGCTGGCGCTCGAGAAGAGAATACGAACTTGCGATCCCTGAATCCCCGCGATACCTATCACGGGAGAACTTCCAGGGACTGATGGAAGGAGGACTTGCAAGAACTCTGACTATCACCTCACCCCGAGGACGGACTGGCGCCTGGCCATGCTGCACATTCTGAATTCGGTGCGGTCCAGACTTCAGACTAGGATTTCCCCAGCTTGGAACTTGAATCAGGTGTAAGTCTTTCATTCACGCGGGTTAGCCTGGACCTTTCAATAATTCAGGTTGTACCATGATTGCTTGAAATCCGGTGTAGACACTCGGACGAGGTGCATGACGCATGCCCGCTTTTCTTGACTGGAAGCATGAGATGCGGGAAACCCGGGTTCGACTCCCGGCGTCCGAATGATTTGGATGTCAATTGCTTTTTTGAGGGTACTCTGACGTTATGCTTCTCGCATGTCTCTCATCCGAGCGGGGCGTGCATATCCTTGGACGAGGGTGCGAGATGAGGGTGAGCTCCAATTCTGTTTTCTGCTGGCCTGCTGTGATTCACTCTTACATAGGGAGGTGCAGAGGGGCTATGGGAGCTCGGACATGGTGTATGGCGCACCCCCGCTTTCATTTAATCGGTAAGAGAATTCTTGTGCAGCGGGAAACTCGGGTTCGACTCCCGGCGTCCGACTTTCGCTCTGCCGAGTCATTTTTCCCCGCTTCATCCACGCTCATTATCCTCTCTTACCTATTCAGGCGCATATTCATTCCCAGCATCTGGACGTTGTGTATGGCGCACACCCGCTTGCCTTTCCACATCATCTCCGCAGCGTTGCGGGGTGGGAAGCCCGGGTTTGACTCCTGGCGTCCTAATAAGTTAGTGGCATGGTTTTTGTCCTCAAACGCAACGCAAATGACCAGAGACCCTCCTCTTTCTTTCTCCGCGGTGCATGTGTTTTTTTTTTTCGGCAGCCGCTACACTCCGACGATAGTAGGCAATATTCTAGGTGAGCTTAAATTCTAAATTCATGTTGGCAAGGCTGAGGATTCGCTCTTACATAGCCTGGTGCATAGGGGATGTGGGAATTTGGACGCGGTTCGTTTTCCCCGACATCGCCGGCTAAATTTAGAAGCTGGCGCTCTCTCACACACGAGGAGGTTCACCATTTTTGAGTGAGCTTCACTTCTATTCTCCCCCGGTATGCTGATGATTCGCTCTTACATATCCGGGTGCATAGGGGATATAGGAACTCGGACGTGGTGTATGGTGCACACCGGCCTGTTGTCCCCAGGTTACAATAACATGTGCGCTCCCGGCGTCCCAATGAAGTGTCTAGAATTTTTATTGGTCGTATCTGCCTTTTTCTCCGATACTCCCGGCTTGTAAACCATATTTTCGCCAGGAGATTGGGTATTTAGCCTGAACTTCATTCCATACCTTCTGGTAGGGCATACTTCATTCCTAAATTCTGGGAGGGGGGGGAGGGGGATTTGGGTATGCTGATGATTCTTCGCTACATTTCCTGGTGCAAAGGGGATATAGGAACTCGGACGTGGTGTACAGCGCACCCCCGCTTTCTATTGAGTGAGAATTGAGAGACCAATATGCGCCGGGAAACCCGGGTTCGTCTCCCGGCGTCCGAATGGCTGTTGCTGTTGGAGCCCGCACTTTTTCTGGCGTTCATTTTTTTCCTGGCAATCTATCTGTAGCCGGTGGGAAGTGACGGCGAATCTCCATGGTTCTCTCTTTTTTTTTTTGCCTCCGTGGTTTCTTATTTGTTTTGTCCTTCAACTGTTCGTCGATCTTCGATGATAACTTGAATACATCTAATCGGATCAATCCGGAATCAATTCTTAGTCCGACTTCCCCGATTCACCTTGTCCCTTTGCGTCGTTCGTCTTGTCCATCGCTATCGCTACGCGCCACACTCCTGCATTCGATATGTGGCCATACGCGGCGACTCCGATACCTCCCTCCCCACACCGTCGAGGCCGGCGGCGTCTGTCGATGACGCGAGCCCTTGTCCTAAAATGTCTCGAGAATCCGTGCCATGGCTCATCCGCACTCGTCATGGGCCACGCCCTTTGCTCATATCGGATCCTGCTCGCCCGCAACTCTGACTGCGGATTGCCCTGGTAGGTACATAATATAATCATCATCCCTCAACGGCCACAATCAGGGCTCGGAAGTAATTATCAGGATCCACAATGATCCTGCACGATATATGATGGATAGAAATGTTACTTTGGGCATGTCTGTCGTATTTCGTTACTTCTGCCGTCCTATTTTAGGTGTGCGTGTGGATCGTCTTGCTGTTGCACCTACGTGAAGCTCGTTCTTTGCCCACCCACCCACGCGATCTTGGTCCATCAGGACGGCGTACCCCAGAATTTAATCTGCAGGCGGGAAGTATTAGAATTGAATGAAACGCATGGAGATATTCGCCGTTACCTGCAAATGCTGCAATACCTGGGACCGAAGATGCGCAGACGACTTGGCGGAGAGAACACATGTACAGGACGCTTTCTGCATATAAGATATCTTGTGTAACCATCTTGATAGCGGATGGATGACGCACCATAGATTTTATCGGGATCGAAACAACAATAAGCACTTGCTAGAAAGAGGCAAGACGCGTGTCCTCCAAGCGCAAAAGGACAGGATCCTATTTGCGCAGAAGCTGTTGGCGAGAAAGGGTAGGTGGTCCAGGTTTCACAATATCTTTCTATAAAAATGAGCGAACAAAGTAAAGGAATGGATGGAAAGCACACACCCCCTGGTCGCGCATGCCCGCCACCGCCCGACTCCCGCTTCTTGACCGCACCGGCATTCGTCTCGAGGCATTTTGCGGGTGCACTGCCCTCCACGCTGTGCACGTCCATCCACCTCCCCGTCCTCCATGTGGACGTCCTCGTCGTCGCTTTTCCGCTTGCCCGAGATGACGGCCGCACAATCAACGGCAGCACGATCAACGATCCGGTTGGGGTCGAGCCCCGCCTTGGTGAGCTGCGCGGCCATATGTGTTAATGTCGCGAGCCCTGTGGAGCGTGCCAGCCGCGACTGGTTCTTCTTGCTCTTCTTGAGACTCTGCGACTTGATCTTGTGTGAGAGAGCAACGCGCGCCTCAATGCCCTCATGCTCATCTTTGGACTCCACCTGAAGGAACACGCACGGGGTGAGTAATCTTGCGACAGAGTTGGCATGGAAGGCGACACACACCATGTCCTCCTCGCACTCAAGCGCCTCGGACTTCTCCGCGATATCGGGATCGATAAAGTCCGCGATGTTCTTCCCGTCCATAATCTCGGGCATGATGTCCATCTTCCAGTCGTTGTTCGCGAGCATGTAGTTCTCTGAAAACTTAACATCAGCAAGAATTACGACAAGGGATACGATGACTCCGTACGCTTGAGATTGATGTTGTGCATACCCACGCCGCCCTCAACGAGCTCGACGTCGCGCGCGAGCTGGCGTCGCTCGGGGTTTTCCTGTCGTACTTCTCGAGGTCCTTGACGGCATCATGAATTCGGCCGGAGAGAACTAGGGGATTGGGCATAGTCCGTATGCAGCTTCGGAGTCATGGGTCCACGTCATAGTGCGGAGGGCATGTGCACGACGACGATGCAGAGGTAGGACGTCACGACGTCAAATCCGTATCATGCAGCATGGTCGATCTGGACTTAAATTCACATGAAGCGCGCTGGCACCGCCACAACGCGTCATCGGCGCGTGGAAAGTCACGTTTGATCCCCCGGACTTTGCCGGCGCCCGCCAAAATTGATGCCAGGTGGAAGAATTGTGGTCTATTAAATTCTATCACCAGATAAGGATTTCTACAAGTTCCAAATTTTTTGGACCTTTTTATCGAATATTTAAGTACGAGCCGGCAATGTCCGGGGCATCAAACGTGACTTTCCACGCGCCGATGACGCGTTGTGGCGGTGCCAGCGCGCTTCATGTGAATTCAAGACCAGATCGACCGGTCTGTCTACCGACACTTGTGTCTCGTAGACAGATCGGTTACCGGTCTATGACTGAGCAGGTTAGAGACAGGGCGCCGCAGCGAGGCAGCGATATCGATGCGAGGAGCAAGAGCGTCGGGAGGCGTTTATTATGTCATAATGAGGCTATTTATATTTTTCCGACATTGTCAGTTCTCAACTTCTCGCATGACGCGTTCCGTCCCTTGTCCTGCCCGGCCGTCGTCCCATAACGACATGACTCACGCGCGTTCCCCACCGGCCACGTCCCTCCATGCCCCGCTATTAAGATTGGATCCTGCTAGCCCGCAACTCTGACTGCGGCCTAGTCTCTCTTGGACATAGTCTCCCTAGTCAGACCATTAAAGAGTTTTTTTTTTTTTTTTGAGGAGTGGAAAAAAACTCATTTAATGGTCTGATTTTAGGTGCTATGGCAACAGAAATTGAGCAGCTCCCTTTTTAGGAAATCTGCCGCTGTTCCCATCAAACCAAGGCGCGGCATGGCTGTCAGGACCCCTGGCACATGATTTTACATCATTCCAGTTGTGCAATCAGTAGTCGACATGTACATTGTAGTAGTTGCTCCCCAACATATCGTTCTTTTTGTATTGTCACACGAGATCCCCATCTAAACAAGTCTGCACTTGATCAGCCGGAGGAGCTCCTTTCTAGCATTAATGGATGTATTGGATGCATTGCAAGTCACAGCCAAGGCAGACACTCAAAACATGTTATTAAATGTACCCTTACCTCTATGTAATCAGGTCTGGTAGTATCTTTGTTAAGCCTGTATTATTCCACCCTTTTAGTCCTTTTCTCTAGAAACTACCGAGACAAGACAAGAGCGGAATTAGCACAGCCACTGGCCTTTTCAGCCCACTTTCTCGAGGTACTGACCTCGAGGGCTGCTTACAGAAATTAGCACAAAAATCCAGTGTATCTGATATTTTTTCCTGCTATTTTTACTGACCAGGTCAATACAAGGGCGAGCTAGAATGTGCTCCAAGACTCTGCTCTTATGGACATTTGAAGTCACTCATCCAGCGTGTCTCACACTCTTATTTCTTTATGTCTCATCTACTTATCAAATTGCCATGAGGTCCTGTGTTCAATTTGCTCAGCGGAGTTTTTGTTTCCACACTTTTTTTTTTTGCTGCTGAGCCAAGTACCTTCTGTTCCAAGTAACCACAGAAGAACACCAGTGAATGCCTTGATTTCGAATTGTCTGGTGTAAAAATGGCTCTTCAAGTAATTTTTTCTTCCTCGGACAGTCCCACTGAGCCTCTACGTACGCCCTGCTCCAGATAAAGCATGTGCATGCATATTTTTCCAGCCCATTACCATGGGAAACATTTGATAGGAGTTCTCAAAAGAGTTTGAAATACACAAGTTCAGTCTACATTTCCTAGTCAAAATTTGCTCGCTTTGACATAGGTCTACATAGAAGCTACAGTCCTTTTGCTAAAAGTTTTACACAACTATATTTCAGTTATCAAGATTGCGTAGTAAGAACACTCCGTATCAACTTGAATACTGAGTACCTGTTAACATTGACAGGTACATACATGTTCTCAACAACTCATCGTTATCACAGACTGAGTGAGGACTGAGTGAGTCTCCTCCTTGCGAGTTTTAAGGTTTCACTATTAACAGTGACCATCTTAGTGGGATGTGGCACACCAAGCTCCTCGCCGCAGTGATTGAGAACTG